CTGCGGGGAGCGTGAGCGGCGCTTCCTGCCCCATGAATGGGCCCGAGACCACGCGCGCCCTGATGCTGAGGAGGAGGGAGGGAGCGGCGGCGTGGGCCGAGCCTGAGCCTCCTCACCGGCGGCCGCTGACTGGCGCGCGGAGCACGCGCTTTAGGAGGCGATTTGGGAACTGAAAGCGGCGCCCAGCCCCTTCCGGCTGGGCCTTGAACCAGCTTGCCTGTTGTGAGCTCACATGCTTCCATTTCCCCTGCAGACCCAGCATGGCCGCCCAAGGAGAGCCCCAAGTGCAGTTTAAGGTAAGGGACTGGACTTTTTATTCGGTAGAAAAGTAGCATGTATAACTCAAGTATCGGCGTGGTTGGTAGGTTTAGTTTTAAATTGTTGGACCATCCTTAACAGTGCAATTAGGTTATTGTTATACAAGTTATTAGATTGTTATACTACAAGACTCTTGACTGTGACAGTGTGTTGCTGTTTGTAATTTAACATAATAAAACTTAATAACGTTTTGGCTATAGCATGATTTGAAATCAGGTGCTCAACAGTGAGGTTCACAGTCAGCAACAAGGAAAAAAGTGCTTAGAATAGTGCTTGTTTTACTTTGTGTGTTAATGGCAAGGGAAAAAGGAACAACACTTAGAACAGTTTTTTGGTTATATCTTAAGTAAACAACCAGAAGTTACTAAGGCTGCTTCATGAAAGATTATTTGTTAATTAGATTTATTACAATACTTGGTTAGTGAACAAGACCTCTCTATCCCAATTGTCCTGTAGTGCAGTGTTCTTAATGTTAAGGTTACAATGAATTTCTCTGGTTGAGTGGCTTCCTGGTCTTTCTTTAAATATTGTCACTTTCAGGTTGAATAACCTAAGTGTTCTTAATGCAGTTATTTGTAGTTTAATAAATAGAAGAGTTTGCAGTATGTTGTTCTCAATTATGAGAACTAAAAAAATTTGACTTGAGTTATAGAGTGATAGGTTTAACAGATTGGGTCCTAGTACTGTGAGTTGCTCCATAGGCCTTTTCAGTCTTCTGTTTACAGCCTTTTGTAGGAGTAAGGTCTTCATGTTAGTCTCTAGAAGTGTAATGCCCAGACTTACCTGTCTTAATCTTTCAACAGCTTGTCCTGGTTGGTGATGGTGGTACTGGCAAAACAACATTTGTAAAGCGTCATTTGACTGGTGAATTTGAAAAGAAGTATGTAGGTATGTCTGCAATAGTATCCAAGACTTAATATGTTACAAATAGATGTGGAACTCACAATTTACTAAGGGGAATGCTGCTTTTCCTTATTACAGCAACGCTGGGTGTTGAAGTTCATCCTCTGGTGTTCCATACTAACAGAGGTCCCATTAAATTTAATGTATGGGACACAGCTGGCCAGGAGAAATTTGGTGGCCTGCGAGATGGCTATTACATTCAAGGTAAGATATGTGTAGCTGCAGGAATATCCTGCACCTTCTACAGCACAGTCCTTCTTTACTCTGTTAATGTTGGCAGCTCTGAAAGCTTTCGGTATGGATTACAGTTGTAAGTGTAGCTTCTTGGTTTGCAAACCCTTCGTATAGGATCAGTGCCTTTTGTCAGGCAGCTTGTCCTAATGTAGGACTGTTCTAAGCAGATCTTGTTTTAGTATGCTGGTGCAGGCCTTGGTATCAAACAGTAGTAACATACTTTAAATAAGATACTGCTGACTAAATTCAGTGATTAGAAGGCAAAAGTACATGCTTCAGTTTGAACTCCTTTGTACTAGCTTTGTGCTGGAGCGTGGACTTGCAAAACATAAACTGTAAATTTCCAGATATAGTAATGAATTAATAAACTGATCAGGAACACTGATAATGGGGATAAAGCTGTAAATCTTGCCAGATTGTCTCTGTCTTTCTAAAGAATTGTTGGTAGTATCTCTCTTTTTTTTGCTTGGTCAGGTGCTATTCTCTGTGTATTTGAGTCACCTGTGTATCTTAAGTTCTGCAAGGGTTCGTTAGTGTTTGACACTCTTGCTTTTCCTTTAGAAATATCAGGATCAAGTCAAGCCCCTTTGTTCTTTGAAAAACTGTTTTGTGCAAGGGCAACCTGAGATGTGGACTGCAAGCTCTCAAGTTATCTGAAAGCCTGCATAAGATGTCTGAGATTACTTAAATAGGTGTTAACTAATTTCTCTCAAATATTTGGGTAAATCCAAGTTGACTCTTGTAGTTTTTGTATATTCCCATTTCGTGCAACACCATGATAGTCAATAGGATGCTTGCATGAATAAACCTATCTGGTGTTTAGGATTGGACACTAAACGTATGAGATGGCATATGGTCATGGGCTGAATTCTGTGGACTCCTATGCATAGAACTTCTGTAAAGAAGATAGCCTCTCTAACCCCCTAGGCCAAGGGGGGGAAGTTAATACAGGCATTGTAACTGTAATATGCTATTTTCATGGATACTTTTTCCATCTCCCATTTGATGAAAGTGCACTGGTGTAACTTCTGACTACTTCTTTCTTACAGCTCAGTGTGCCATCATAATGTTTGACGTAACATCAAGAGTTACTTACAAGAATGTACCTAACTGGCATAGAGATCTGGTACGAGTATGTGAAAATATCCCTATAGTGTTGTGTGGCAACAAAGTGGATATTAAAGACAGAAAAGTCAAGGCAAAATCCATTGTCTTCCACAGGAAGAAGAATCTCCAGGTATGGCAGCATGAGTTTGTAGGAATACAAATTTATTAGAAGGTTCCACTGCAGTTGTGTTCTATGTGGTAATGTGGTAATATTTTTGTTGTTCTTCATTTGTCACTACAGGTTACAGTATTTCAGCTTTACATCCTGTTTGCTTCTTGAACCTAGCTTCAGGGAAGGGGGAAGTGATCTTGTTAGGGATGATCTCCACTAGTCTTGAGCGGAAGCTATGACAAGAGATTAGAAAACTTACATGCGTTTGACTTTTACTGCTTAGAGTCCCATCAGATCTCACAGAAGTGAGACTGAGTAGACTGAGTCGGAGGAAAAAAGGTAGATGCGTTACTTTCTCCTGAAAGTTCCATCCTTGATTAGGTCAGAAGACTTGGTTGCACAGTATACACTATTACTTATCCACCTGAAACTCTACATTTATGGACATTTTAGATCTTAACTGTTTCTGAGAGTGTAGACAAACTTCATACAGTGAAGAAAAACACCAGGGTAAGAGTAGAACTGATTAAATGCATATTAATCTTAGTATTGCCTAAAAATCTGTTAGAGGTATTTTTTGTGCGTGTGCATGTAACATATATTCTCTTTGCAGTATTATGACATTTCAGCTAAGAGTAACTACAACTTTGAGAAGCCTTTTCTCTGGCTTGCTAGAAAGCTAATTGGAGATCCTAACTTGGAGTTTGTTGCCATGCCTGCTCTTGCACCACCAGAAGTTGTTATGGACCCAGCACTGGCAGCACAGTATGAGCAAGACTTACAGGTAACTGAGAAAGGGCACAAAGATCAAATGATTGCCCATTTGACCAGTACTACTAGTACTTGGATCCTTGGGGCAAACAACTGAAGAACAGTTCTTAAGTGTAGCTTCTTTGTTTCAGATTGCTCAAACCACTGCACTGCCAGATGAAGATGATGACCTGTGAGGGATGAAGCTGGAGCCCAGCGTCAGAAGTCTAGTTTTATAGGCAACTGTCCTGTGATGTCAGTGGTGCAGCGTGTTTGCCACTTTATTATCTAGCTGAGCAGAACATGTGCTTAATCTTTGGGATGCTGAAAGAGATGAATGGGCTTCGGAGTGAATGTGGCAGTTTAAAAAAAAAAAAAACTTCATATTTTGGACCCACATGTAGCTGTTTTTTGGACTGCAAGTACTTCCCCTTTGAGTTTCAAATATAAGACTGCTGCAGTCACATCAGAGTATTAAGTGGTAAATCTTGTTTCTGTCATTCCCATTCTTTTTTGTTTAGATAATAAAGTTGTATTTCAAATATCTCTAAGCAAGTGAACTTTCATGCATTGTTAGGAATAATTCTTCAACAAGTCTTCTGCTCCTCAGTTGAGGCTAATACTCGGTTGTCTGCTGTATTTCTCCCTTCCTTTTTCCTCTTTCTCTTCCATACACTCTCTTCCCTCCCTTTCTTGTTATGCTGCTCTTAGTAAATCAGAGCTAACAGTTAACCTTCCCTTGATTTCCTGAAGTCTGTAATTAAGCACCCGAGGAGAGCTGAACTAACTGCCAGGTAAAACTAAAGCATTGAACGCTTGACTGGTAAGTGTGACTGAATCAACAAATAAGCATAGATTCCCCTTACAAATGGGCATGTTTATGTGATCTGCAGAGTGTCTTGAGAGTAGTTCAACTTGCATATGCTACCTTTAGATAAAGCCTCTGAACTCTAACTTACAGTATGTTCTACAACATGCCTTCAGAGCTCTCTATTTTAGTAGCCTGAAACAAATGGCATCCAGATCTGTTAAGTGATGTAAAAGCTGTATTTGCATGGAACATCATTCAGTAGAGCTATAGCTGATGAAGCACATTCTTTCTGTGCATCTTAAAATTCACTAACTAGAAAACATCGGTAGTTGAGTTAAAAAAAGCTCTTGGCTACGAAACAGCATATTAGCTAAAACCACACTTGTATAAATAGCAAGACTTTTCTGTAACTGCACCAAGTTCTTAATTTGAAACTCTAGCATATTACAGCACAAATGGTGGAAAATGTCAACTTTTAACACTACCTTGTAGGAATTAATCTTGGTCAATATTAGTACTGCTAGTAGACAGAACATAAGTTTAAGATTCCATTTTTCAGTAGTGTTTGAGTACATGAAGCCTTGAATTCTTCAGTTTTGTATTTTTGGTTTCTTAATAAAGTGAAGCATTTCATTTATTCCTCTTAATTTGCATGTCTGTGTACGTAACTCCTGCTACTTGATTAGTTCTTAAATAACACTATTCAACCATTCTGATACATGGCTGCAAAAGATAGTTTACTATGGAAATCTATTTATTAAACACTGTTGTAAAGAAATCATGTTTAACCTAGTGCAAGTTAAGTTCTGTATTGCTTAACTACTTAATGAAAAGCTGAGTTGTGATATTTGGAACATGAAACTAATGAGAATGAGGAGTATTGTACACTTACCTACTGCACAGTAAAAAGACTGACTCCCACTTAAACATGCCATTGAATCTTCTTGCTGCATCACCTTGCTTGAACGTCATCTTTTGGGTTCCTGTCTGCAGTCACTAATTCATCTGTGTGTACTTTGGCTAATACTTCTAGCTTGATTATCTGCTGCTGCTTTAGGCGCAGTAGCTCTTTTCTTTCAGTTGTCCTGCTTTTGAAGTGCAAATTGTAATAGTTCTGCAGTGTTGACACACCTTAAACTCAAGTAGAGTTGCAGTTTATCTATACTGTTTCATAGTGTGTGCATGTATGGTGAGATAGCTACAACTTGCCTGCTGCACACGCAGGTGTATAACTGCTCTGAGTTTTTTGCTTTGTAACCTTTAATACTCCTTCCAAGTCCACAAGAACTATACTTTGATGTAGGCAGTAATACTTGGCCTGCTGTAATAGATGTTTTGGGGGTGAGTCAGTCCACTAGTTACTGCATTATGCTCAGTTGTCATATCTAGAACATGTTAACTGTTGATCATAAGTAATGCAACTAGTCTTAGTGGGCCTGTGCAAATTCCTTTCAGCTGTAGTTTCTTAACTATAATACTTCAAAAGACTTGAGCTCTAGAGTTTTTTAGTAGCTGTTGAACAAAACTTCTTGCTTATCTAACTAGTCAAGTAATGAGGAAAATAAAATTTATGTTGTAAGTACCTCTGCCAAATAGTTGCATCAGTCTATATTAGAGCTCTAGCATTATTGGGACTGAACTGATGAGACTTAATTCCTTCTTCCTTGCAATGCTCGTTCCATTCTACTTACTTGATTGCTAGATGTGTGCATGGTTGGGTCAGGATAAAGGTAGGATTTTTTTTTTTTTAATACCTCAGTTGTTTGTGAGTTTGCCTGCGCTAAGGTGTCTAGTTTCACCAAACTTCTTGCTAGAGACCTTACTCTGCTTCAGTTCTTGCACGCAGGAGGAGATGCTGGGACACTTATGATGCCCTGAGACTTCCAAATTTGGAAGTCCAGAGGCTTGTATTAGGAAAGTAATTGGGAAATTGGTACATGTGTAAACTTCAATGTAAGGCAAAAGCATTCATTTAAGAAACTGGTAGAGGAAGTGTTTCACTACTGTAAACATGTATTATTACCATACCTTTAAATGAAAGGAGTGTTAAAGGCCTCCTTAGGAAAATTAAGGGTATCCTTGGTAGGTCTCTAAAGACTTCAACAGGAGGTTTTTAATAAAAGCAGTGGAGAAGTTTCTGTTAAAACATGCTACTTAAACTACAGCAACTGGAGCCCCACACAGCAGAAGGATTGAAGTCTTCACCTTTTGTTTTTGATATGCAGGTTATAGTAAAAACACATTTCCATGCCATCCCAGACATGGTTCTTCTCTTGCCCTTGTTCTGTTGTCAGTTTTGATCTAAACTGATGGGGGGGGAAAAGTGCTGAGACTAACTTCTCTTCTGCCTTCCCCTTCCTAACATGCAAGATTAGCTTGGCTGAAGCTGATTGCTTTTCCTGACCTGGATTGACAGTACTAGTCACTTTTCTCTTGCCTGGGCTTTGGCAGTGGTTAAATGGGACCTCTATAAAGCCTTCTCTACAGCAGGATTGATTCAGCTGTTTTACAAACAACTGAGAAGCTAAATTTGCTCTTGCCTGCTTTCAGATGGATGCTTTATAAGTATGGGGGTGTGTGTCCAGTGCTGAAAGACTTGCCTTTAAGAATCTTCTTTCGTAGTGCAGGCTGGTATATCAACATCCCCGGGGCGGGGGGGGGAGGGATGGTCTTTCCTTGCATGTTGCATGTGTCCTGAAACTTTTTTAATCATCTCTGCAAAAAGACTCATTAAACAAGCTGGGGGGAAATATTGGGAGATCATGAATGTCTATGCTGTCCCAGTCCAATAGCTTTTATAACTAGTATTTTGTTTCTGACAGTACCCAGACTGCAACACTTCAGAAACAGCTGTAGTGATTTTTGGAGTTCAGTACCCCTTGGCTTGTTCATTTGGTGCAGGCTTACCCCCCTGCCCCCCTTTCAGCAGAGGGGCAAAAAAAATATTCCTTTGTCTGGTTCAAAATAAAGTCAGCTGACTGACAAGTCATGGAAAACTAAATGTGAAAGGATTTTATCCTTAAAAGGAGGGCTTAATATTATAGCCTATTTCTTACAGACTTGAGACTGATAAACCACACCATAGTCTTTAATTACATTAATATATATTTGGTAATTCAATAGCCCTATAAATATTTAAACATGTGGCATATGTTATTTATACAAGGCTCTAACACAGACCTTACATTTTTGTTTAGGTTACAGATTTGGGCTTACAAGGCAAGCACAAATATTGTGACTGGGTGGTGTGAGTGATTCTCTTTTCACAATCTGTTCCATTTGTGAAATGAGTGAATGACACTCCTCTAAAACCCTGGAGTAGTGTTTTGGAAGCTGTATCACTGTAATGGACTGATGTTAGTAATGGTCTACTAGTTTGATATAGGAATTGTGTTTTTTTTTTTTTTTTAATTTTTATTGTGAGTATCGTCATCCTGGGATTCTGTCATTAAAGTAAAACTCAGTTCCTCATAAAAAAGGGTACATTTCTAGTGCTTATTTAGGGAAGAATTTGGAAATACGAATATTCTTTTTTTAAACAGAAGGTCATAAATGGAACTTCATATAGCATGTTTTAAAAAGTCAGTGTTTGATCTACCATCTTTCAAATGTGGCTGGTAACTTTTGAGTGTTTACATGAAATATGAATTTCACCAGTTCATTCCAGGTTCTAAAGAGGCAATGAGCTTGACTAACAGTTGTGTAGTTCTGTTCTGACTACTTTATTAAAGACTGAAAGGCAGCTAGAGTGAGAGACCAGTAAGTATAAAATAACTGTATGAAAAGGGAGACAGTCCTAAGCAGGAAGCTCTTAGGGTTAACTTTTTTTTTTTCAAAAAAAAAAAAAAAGAAAAGTTTTGATCAATGCAAAAACTAGTACCTAGGAAGGAAATTTTAATGACCGCTATGTCAACCTTCCTGTTGTGATTGATTGCAATGTTGACAAAATCAGGAATTGGGCTCAAACATCAAAATCTTTCATGACATACTTATTGTCATTTAAGGCTTCTATATAAAGCTTTAAGACAAAGATAGAACTGAGTGACTAATAAACGAGGTCAAAGCAAGCAAGAACCATTTTCAGTGTAAGATTTACTGTTCATGAGCCAGTCCTATAATACAACTTGGAAATCGGATCATAATTAACCAATTGCTACTGCTGCTACTTGAAGCTTGTCACTATGTAAGCAAATGGTAACAGCTGATGGCTCTTCTTTTGCTTTGTAGTACCTATCAGAAATATTGATGAGGAGTGAAATGTTTGTTTATGGTAAGAATACAAAAGAAATCTTCCCATCAGGCTGCTTTTTTTTTTTTTTTAAAACACATTTGTTTGAATATTCAGATCTCTGATTCAGTTTGCAGGGCAGCTATTTAGGGAAAAAACTCAAGCCAAAAGAGACTCCATCCATTTATAAATAATCAACCAATCCCCTTACTCTCATTACTTAGTCCTTTTGATTCTGGAACTAGTATCTTTATTTTTTTTATTTGGGTCCAGATGTTTTGTTTCATTTGAATGCCAAAATTAAGGTCTAATTGTACAACTTCTGTTTCAAACTATAGCTAATGAGTACACTAACCTCTAAAAGGTTAGGAATAAGAGTTATTTGAGATGCGTTGCTTGTCAGAGTCAGAAGTACAGAAGATGTTGCTTGCTATGAGGTTTGAACCTGACTAAAGAGCAGTTTGGCTCACTGTCTGAGCTGCAGGTTTGACATAACTTAAGAAAAAAAAAAAATTGGCCACGGAGAATTGAGTGGCTGCTGCATAATTCTCTTTTCTTGCTAGTTATATGAAAGTGGACAATGTAGCATCCAAGGAAGAGCATTAATTCCAGGGTCTGTCTGCATGGAAGTGTTCTCCAATGGAAAACGGTAAGAGAAACAGTGATTTGCTTTTGTGGTTCCAGTTTCAGCCACATGATGGGGCACGCTGTCTATGCAACTACTTGGATCAAGTGAAACTTAAACTGAAAAATAACCTGTTGGGGTTGCACAAACAGCATGTCTTCTAGGAGGAAGACACTGATAAGAATGCTTTTAGGTTTATTAACAATAGCAAATGACTACACTTAGGAAGGTGTATTGTAAAATTGCTGCTTGAGATTTGTTATCTGCCAGGACCAGAGAAGTACAGTAGCAACTGTTGGTATGAGCTTAAAGAATGGATAAGGGTTATTTTCTTTGTACAATATTTCTATGCTTTGTAAAACAAACTAGATATAGTTGAATTTTTTTCAAAGGGTTATTTCTTCATCTTAAACTCACTAAGCCTGAAATAGACCAAGACAGTGAATTACGAAAAGATTTTGTCACCCTTATGTTGTTAGCACAACAAAGCCAGTGCTGTCATAGTTTATCACTTCTCCTACACTTCAGCAACTTAGGGTTTAAACACAGCAAATAAATCAGAGTTCACTATATAGAACTACTCAATATCTTGGTAATTAATGTTGAGCTCAGTATAACTTTGCCTGAATAAACCAACCCACTCATTGTGTTGAACCCCTAAGACTGATTGTTTACGAAAAGTCTAATGTAGAATATGTAGTAGTCAAATATGACACAACAAAATTTCATATGCTATGTTTTACTCTTGTCAGGTTGAAGTATACAAACTGTATGTATACGAACTGTACAAAAAGCTTGAAGGATCAATGTTGTATTATAACTGTGTGTGTTTTTTCCTTCTGTAAAGTGATTGTAAATAAGGGAGAAAGGTGTTCTTCCACTCAGACTTTCAGATCTGAAATAAAGTTGGCCAGAAGGACTGCACTATGACAACTTTCTCTAATTATGCTATAGAACACTAGCTTGAAAACAGTCTTATTTCAAATGCCCTCAGTATATTTAGAGGGTGATAAACTGCCTTTCTGCAGTCCAGCTGAGATCTGTGGTTCAGAGGGGAATATGCATACATGTGACTGACTTTACACAGGCAAATTGCTGGCTGATACAATACTTGTGGAACTTCTGGCCCCTATGACACAAAAGCAGCCCAGGTAGTGTGGTGCAAAACTACTGCAGTATCTTCAGAAGTATAGTCTAGACTGTCAATAAGATAAAGCAATGAGTAAAACATTGCATTTGGCAGGGAGAAGATGCTTCTGTGTTGTAGAGATTTGAACCTGTAAAAGGAGTATGACAGAACTCAAAAACAGGATGGAGAAAGTACACATGCAAGTCAACCTATGAAGAAAGGTATTGAAAATTGCTGAATACATCAACTATGACTGGAGAACAAAATACTAATTTTCATGGCAACTTCTGGATGCTACTGGGGTGGTGATAATTAGTGTAACATTCATTATAGTTAATTAATTATGTTTTTGAAAATCTGCTAGTAGGCATCAAAGCAAATATAAGAAAATGGTCACAGTGAGGGAAATGACTGGGTGGAGGGGAAATGACAAACGTATCCTCGTAATTGAGATCATCATTAGAAGTTTCTCCTCCACAGAAGAATTGAAATAAGACCAGTTTGGTATCTGTCAAATTGTAAGAGCTTCCTGTAGCTGTACATGAGAGGCTGATCATGTTGCTGCTGTGCTTTCCTGGAAGCTGTTTGTGAAGCTGCCCT